AGTGCAGTAATTTGAGCTCTGTTTTATCTGGGTTTTAAAATTTTGGCTTTGTTTTTTTCCCGACAAACAGGGTCCTTTGATTATCAAAATTGTTCTTGAGATTACTGTTCGGTTCAGTTAAAGTTGTGACTTGAATTGGAATGTTCTATTTTTCCCCCGAACACTCTCTTCTGGAATTTGAATCCTTTTATCGTAGCAGCTGCATGTTAAATTAATCGAGATATTGAATTTTGGATTAAAAAAAAAATCAATTTCGCATGTTTTCTTAATTTATTTGTCATGTGATAAGTTCTTCCTGAAAAATTTCGTTTAGCTCTCACTATTCTGAGAGTATTGACACTGGAGTTATCAGGCAACCTGATGACAGAAACAGCCAAACAGGACCAGTTATATTACCGGCCACAGGTTTGTTTGAGTAGTTCTAGTTTGTATGACGACATTCATAGTGCGCATTCTGCATTTTTTACCTGCAAAATAAGCAAATTATGTAATTACATTCTTATGAAGTGGTAAACTCAATTCCATACTGGCTAATCCACATCAGTATTATAGTGAACTATGACAAGGGGAGTGTTATGGTTGCAACTAATCTACCTGCACAGATGCTAATCCTAATGAGTCAGATTTGATACTGAATAGATTTCGTGAAACACCAAAATTAATTCTGTACAAAAATTCGACCGTGATTCATCCTTGGTGATTAGTTATTTACAACTATTATACTTAATTTTTAAAAGTATAGTTTTGTATTTTGCAACCGTCTATGTTGTCATCTCTAATTCTACCATGCCTGTTCTCCTAAACAGGGCAATTGCAAAATATTTGTCGTCTGATCTTCCGTACGAGTTATCATCTGATGATGTTTATGTTACGGCTGGATGTACACAAGCTATAGAAATGGTGTTATCCATTTTGGCTCGCCCGGGCGCTAACGTTTTACTACCAAGACCAGGTTTCCCAATTTACGGATTGTGCGCCACTTTCAGAAATCTTGAGATTCGTTACTATGACCTGCTACCTGACAATGGCTGGGAGGTCAATCTCAATGCTGTTGAAGCTCTTGCAGATCATAAAACCATTGCAGTGGTAATTATTAACCCGGGAAATCCTTGTGGCAATGTCTACACACGTCAGCATCTAGAGAAGGTTAGTATAAGTCTTTTCCCTCTGCTATATCACAGGCTTGTTTGAATGTTTCTGATTACATTTAGCTCCGTGATAATAGTATCTGCTGTTAGATTGCAGAAACTGCCAAACAGCTAGGTATTGCCGTAATTGCCGATGAAGTTTACGGGCACCTAGCTTTTGGGGATAAACCATTTGTGCCAATGGGAGTTTTTGGATCAGTGGCTCCAGTTTTCACGCTTGGATCTCTGTCAAAGAGATGGTTAGTGCCTGGTTGGCGCCTTGGTTGGCTTGTAACAAATGATCCTAATGGCGTATACAAAAACCCTAAGGTCTTTTCCATCCTTTTTTGAGTTTTTATTTGCAATTATCCTTCAGTACTGTTCTATCTACAGGATTAACTTCTGCTACAGCAAAGTATGTTTTCCTAAAATCAATGGCTGCACATTCATTTGCACTGCATGTTAGTTGGGTAGATGGTTTTCTTATTTGGAAAGACACAGATTAGCTTTTCATCTGTGCATTGTTTTACCCTTTGTGTGTGTTCTTGCCATCTTTATTTTGAAGTCAGAATCAAAGGTCAAAGGGTGAAGGATATAAATAGTGATATCATATTTACTGTCATTTGCTCCATGGGATTAGTCCCAGGTTCTGACTATTTCTGAATTGATTTTCTTTGATATTATCAGTTTGTAGAGCGTATCAAGAAGTACTGTGATATTTGTGGAGGTCCAGCAACTTTTATACAGGTTTGAACTTAAAGACTTCTTAATCTTCTCTTAAATCAGGGCCATGTTAAAAAACTACACAGGTTTTCTTTTGAGACTTCTTAATTCCATCTTAGATCAGAATTGCAAGTGGAGTATGTTTCTATTCCTTTGCCATGTTACAAACTCTTTTCTTATAGGTTTACTTCGGCATTTAGTTTGAATCAAGTGTGTGGTTTTATCAACAGACTGGCCAAAGCAATAAGAAATGAATGCTTACAATAAAAGCAGTATAGACATCAGTGCAAACTCATCTGAACGAAAGTTTCTGTCAAGTCTATGTGACCCTCTTCTGCATAATAGTATGTGATTGTGGAGTACATCTTTCAAAACCTAGAGGCTCCTCAATGCAACATCTCAGACTTGTAAATCTCTTCAAATTTTGCCATTGGTATTCATGAATGTGGCTATTTAGCTTGTCCTTGTTTGAGCTCTCTGTTTGCCTGTTTTATTACACAAAGAGAGTCAGTCCCATTTCAGTCAATGGCATATTCAGAGTATGATTGCCAATTTTCACACCTTAATGATATTCAAATTATTAGCATTAGTTATCACTCTCCAGATATGGTTTGAGGCACTGGAAGTCCTTTCTCGGATTTAAGTGTTCATGTTGCTACCATACATGATACAACAAAGATAACTTCTTCCTTTGTTTAGGAGTTGTTAAGCATCCATATCTCTGGGCATCAAGCCATCGTGTGATTTTCCGGTCAAATTTGCAATCATCAACTTAGTTGCCTTTTGATCATTAAATTGTATAATTGTCAGGGATTTGAACATACTCCTTCATGGATTTACTTTAAATGTCACCAGTGGTTTTAGCTTACTCACTTCTAACTAAAAATTTAAAATATTAGGCAGCAGTTCCTCTCATTATTGAGCAAACTAAGGAGGCTTTTTTTGGCAAGACCATTAATATGCTCAAGCAGAGTGCAGAAATTTGTTACAAAAAGATAAAGGAGATACCCTTCATTAGTTGCCCTTCTAACGCTGAAGGATCAATGGCTCTAATGGTAAGTGATTAACAAATTTGTAAAGCCTGCAACCTAGGCAATAGAAATTTGCATCTTTTTCAGTTGATTTTATTTCCTTGCACAATGTAGGTGAAACTTAATCTGTCCTTACTGAAAGACATTAGTGACGACATGGACTTCTGTTTTAAGCTGGCCAAAGAGGAGTCTGTCATCATCCTTCCGGGTAAGCAGATAAACAAGTTCCTACTTCCTAGAATATGGAAATAAGTAATATGAAATGCAGTTAGTTAAATGAAGAAAAGCCCCAGGCCCAAGTGCTTTTGTATTTTATTTATGTTGGAAAAAACTTGTACATAGTTCACTTAGTGCGCACTTCCTCAGTCAAATGGAATGTGAAATGAATATTTGCAGAGTGCAACCATATAGAAATCAGCGAACATGCGTGCAACTCAACTGTAAAATTTTCGAGTTGATTCAGAATGACTTCTGCGGTTACTAGAAACAGATCGTAGCCTCCCGGAATAACACCACGTGTAACCTTTCTTCAACACAAGTCTTCCTAGTTCATTTGTCCCTCTATTAGGATGATCTGCGACTCTTTCAACATTCAAACTTTGCTGCTTTTTCTGATTTGGACTTAGATTTCTGGCTAGCCTCCCGGAAGAACACCACTTATAACCTTTCTTCAACACAAGTCTTCCTAGTTCATTTGTCCCTCTATTAGGATGATCTGTGACTCTTTCAACATTCAAACTTTACTGCTTTTTCTGATTTGGACTTAGATTTCTGGCTATTCTTGAAGTAACTAGAGTCTTGCTCTTGATAAATTTCCAACTACTTGAAACGTGTTAACATGTGAACACTTCATTAAGAGTTGAGTAAGTCGCTTGAAAGGAAATTAGCATTTTAAAAAGTAATGAACCAGCTACAATCATTAAAGATTGAATTTTCAGAACCTAATTACATGCTATACATGCATCCTTGACAACAAGAAAAAATTCTGCAGGACTTGCTGTAGGTCTAAAGAACTGGCTGCGAATCACATTTGCTGCAGAGCCAGCTGCTCTTGAAGAAGCATTCGGAAGGCTGAAGTCTTTCTGCGACAGATATTCCAAGCAACAAAACGGATATTGACATGTTTTCTGCTTACCGCTCGATTGGATCAAAGACACTCCTATAGTCCTATTCTGCTTTATATCCCTTGCCCATTTTAAGAGCTCCAATTTGTATAACACAAATGCCATATGACATTATTCTTGTATATTTGTGCGCACGCCCAAGTGTAAAAACTGACAAAGAGACAATAGAAGGGCATGCTTTGTAAGCAAGTGATTGGTTATCTATTCGTTTTTCTTTGATGAGTTACTGATGCTAATCATCTGTTACTGGACTATGACTCCTTGAAATGCAGATCCTCCAGAAAAGGGACAAGGGGCACAAACGGTTGCAGGTGCAACCGTTTCTACCGATTATGTGCATTTTTCACTGTACGTAACTTTTATTGCACACGATGTAACTTTCTTTGTAAATAACGTAACTTTAGAACAAATTTTTTGTGGATCTCACACGTGACGTGAAAATCGAATTACAAGATGTGATCTGAATCGCATAATTTTTTTTGGTCAAATCATGGCTGTTAGACAATCGCTCCTGTCCCATTTCCTCCGGAAAAGTGGCTCAATGGTACGATGCAATGATGCAAAAGTACAATTTTCAAATTAATGCCAAAAATGTAAATCTTTAGTTTATTGAATAGCAAAATCAGGAACCATCCAACTGATCCTAGCAATTGGTTGCCGTTTGTGGTTTTGTCTTGCTTCCTGTAGTTAGTTGTGTGCAAATGCAAAATAAGGGCAAATTTAATATACATTACCAACTTGATAGTGGAAACTGACGATGATTGAAGCCCGGAGAAGAACCCCAACGTCGTTTCAGCTTGGATTATACAAGTACCAGCTGGCCATCTTTCACGAGCTCGGATGTGTAAACTATAGAATGAAAAAAGAGAGTGAAAAACAAAGGAAAAAGTTTCTCTCTTTTTTGGTCCGAATAATCAGTCACTATTTTAGCACCATGACAATGATGATTCCAGGACATCCCAAAATGGGCAAGTGGGACACGGACGTCAAGACAATGGTCGTTCACCAGCTCCTTCGTCTTTCTCGTTGGACCTCTCCACATCCAAAAGAACAAAATCCAAACGCTTCACTCCTCGCAACAAACTGTTCAAACTTAAGACAACTTCGGAGTCCTTTCCCTGCTTTCACAACATAATAAAAGTACACCTTTTATTGTCTGTTTCTATCATTTCTTTCTCCATAAAACGCCGCAAAATCAGTGGCTACTTTTCTCAGTCTCAAACTCTCAATCGCTGACTCAGCTATCCACTCTTTATCTCTTCCTCCCATTTCGCAATCTTCTTTTCTTTTCACCATGGCTACTACTGCCCCTTCTTCTGACCAGAACCCAGGTGATTGATTCTTTTTTTTGTAAAATTTCTTGATATCACTGTCGTACTAAGCTTCATCTGTATTGCTGATTGTGTGTTTTCTGTCTTCTGTATCAGAGGTTGAGAACGGTGAAGAGTTCGAAGTTCATGTATTTTCATCAGAGGCAGAGGTGAATATTATGAAAGCCCTTTTCTTGATTTTTGGATTGGTTCTGCTGATTTAGATAATTTTTGTATTTTATGTTTGGGCAATGCTCTTCAGTCTTTCACTGTATCGTCCAAAACAGTTTTGATCATTTACGGGCAATGTATTTTTAAGCTTGTTATAAAGTGGCATGCCAAAACTAATTACGATGTTTTTGGTGTAGTTTGTTGCTTGTTGTGAATCTTGGCATGATTACCGTTGTAAGGACCTCGAACCTACCAAGGTTGCATTCTCGGGTGAAAGATGAGGGTGATGAAATAAATGGATGAGACTGGTGAATAATTAGGAAAAAGCAATAGGACTTCAGGTTCATATTCTGACCTGTATAAGATACTTGTCAGATTTGCTAATTAAGTACTAAACTTTTCAAGGTATTGTTAGTTGTATTTGTTCCGCCCTAGTTGTTGATGATGATGCTACTTATCACAAATTGCCCGGTTTTAACAATATGTTGGATGAAAATTTTGAACAATCTCTGATAAGCCATGAACAGTGAAAGTTTGGCAAACTATGTTTTAGATTTTCTTCTTTCCTTTCCTGCTTCTTTCATTATTTTCCTTATAGTCATCCTTCAAGGGTGGGTCATATGTCAATCATCAAGTTACAATATGAAGATGACAAAAAAAATTGTCCTCAAATTGGTCATTGTTTGACCTGCTATTTAACCTTTATAAAAACGGATGAGCTTGAAAAATTGGCAATCTATATTCTCTTTCACTTGGATGTCATTTCTACTAATGCTACATTGGTTTTTCCATGTCTGTTTTTGCATTAACCAGTTACTTGAGAAGCTGCAAGACAAATGGAGGTCAGTGAAACCACAGCCCTATCCGGCAATGTATTCGAGTGTATTTGGTGGAATTATTCTTGATCCAGCATTGATGGTTATCCCGATGGATGACCACATGGTTCATCGAGGGCATGGTGTCTTTGATACAGCAATTATTCTTGGCGGGTAGGCATGATTTACTTCAACATCATATTTGTACTTTCTTATAGCTGAATTTGAACATTACACCTTAAAAGTTTGTACACAGTGATGTGCCACGGATTTCTTATCCTTCTATGATTGCTTCCAGTTAAACTTGCAGAGTGCTTCAAGTGGCAATGCTATTGTTTTACTATTTGATCTACAAATGCATTGGTTGAACTTTATGCTATGGTCCGAATTAGATTTATCAGTGAATTGTGCAGTTTAGGAGTTGTCAATGTAAATTATACATGTGAAAGAGTGAATGCTTTGGACTGAGATTTTGATTTATGCACTTTTTGCTATGTTTTAAATTTATTGTTTTTGATCATGAACAGGCATCTATACGAGTTGGATGTACACCTGACTCGTTTTCTTAAATCAGCTTCAAAAGCTAAAATAGTGTCCCCATTTCCTAAGTCCACTCTCAGAAGCATTCTTATTCAACTTGCAGCTGCATCACAGTGCAGAAAAGGTACTCTAAGATATTGGCTAAGTGCAGGGCCAGGAGATTTCTTACTTTCTCCTGCAGGATGCCCGAAATCAGCATTCTATGCTATTGTAATTGACGAAGACTTTGAACAGTGCAAAGAGGGGGTTAAGGTTATAACATCCACAATCCCCATGAAGACACCCCTCTTTGCCACAATGAAGAATGTAAACTACATGCCGAATGTTCTTTCCAAAATGGAAGCTGAAGAGCAGGGAGCTTTTGCATCGATCTGGGTTGATGAGGAAGGATATATTGCTGAGGGTCCAAATGTGAATGTGGGATTTATAACCCATGACAAAGAGCTTATCTTGCCTGAATTTGATAAGATATTGCGTGGCTGCACAGCAGCTAGGCTTCTTGAACTGGCACCCAAATTGGTTGAGCAACACCGTCTTAAAAGCGTCAGAACTGACAATCTAACAATAGAGGAGGCAAAAAATGCTGCTGAAATGATGTACATTGGAAGCACCCTCCCAGTTCTACCTATTATTGCGTGGGATGAAAAGCCCATCGGAGATGGTAATTCCTTTCAACTTCCTATCATTTCTTTTAGTTAAAAGCATTGCCTTATGCCATCTCATCTAAGGTGCTTTTTTATGTTTGTAACAGGAAAAGTGGGAGAACTGACCATGGCTCTCTCAGACTTGGTCTGGGAAGACATGGTTGCTGGTCCAAAAACACGAAGGATTCCAGTTCCTTACCTGTAGGAAAGCTTACTGTGTTATTCTAATCAAAAGAAGCAGTTAAAGAATGCTTCAGATATTATGTTCAACATGTTAGATTGCTGAAATTTACAGAGAGTGGCTGCTGCTTTTTTGTATGCTGGGATTGTTGTTTGTAACCATCACGATCAGATCAAACTAATAGGAGTTCACCATGTCACCGTGAACTACATTACTGCGTTAGTTTATAATGTAACGTGTTTTGGATTCCCTTGTCGATTTGATACTTGGATAGTTGTGTTTCAAATAATTTATTGTCGCTATTAAAATCACTACACTTGGGCTCGCTGCTAAGACCAATTTTCCTCATTAATTTCATTGGCTTTTCACTTGCCATTGTTATGGTATCCATCCATGGCAATGTAAGAAAGAAAGCCCACTATTAATTTTGGGTAAAACATCTGAATGGCTCTCAAAGTATCTGAATGGTTTGTCAACTTTTAACCCTGCATGTCACGTTTTAACTATTAATTAACTGCATACTTTTGTTACTCAGAACTTGTAGAAGGATATACTTTCCAACCTTTTGACTAAAAATACTACTTTCAGAAACCTCTTTTGAAATTTATGGTAATATCACTCGACACATTTGAAGTTTCAGAAATATATTATTCAGCACCCATATTAGCGAGATGAGACCATTAATCACTATTATAGCATACCAATTGACAAAGTTACCTTTGCTGCTATAACAATTTTTAGGCAAAAATTTATGGGACAGAAAATTTTTAGGCAAAACATACAAGTCTTATATTATATAGTCAATTTGGTAGAAAATTCAATATAAGACAACAAACAAAAAAAAAGGCGAAATTAGGAGAAAAATATATGCTCTCTCATTAAATGATTATTATGATAATATTTTAGTGGTACAAGGTTGAGATCGTTACAAAAAGTATGATTGCAGGAGATGTTAGTAATATTTTTAAAATTTTAGGACTATCAAGTGATGTTAATTCTAAAATTATCTCTAGCCAAAAGAGTGAGAAATATACCCTTTTACAAGTTTGAGGGGGCAAAAATATACACGTAATAGTTGGAGGGCTAAAATTCTACAAACTTAATAATTTGATGCCATCTAGATTTGTTGCCCCTTTTAATTTTGACTACAAACTTATGAAATAACCCATTAGTGCATCTATGATATCGCATTTTTCCTCAGTTCACACAACCAATTGCAGCAAGATGAAATACTCTACTACACTATCTTATATATGTCCATTATTAAACCATCCATGTTTTTTTTTTTTTTCAATATAACTTTTATGCTGTATTTGTAATTAGATTATGTAATCTCATTCTCTTAGAGAATCAAACATCTGAAAATTGATCACCATGTAACTGTCCCTGAAAGGAAGGCAACCATTAATTGTTCTTATGAAAGCAAAAGGTGATCAAATGCTGAGAGACTGAATAACCAATCAGCTACGAGAGTTACCTTCAAGCCAGCAGTCCCTCCTGTCCTCCTCCATTTATGTATTGTCGCTAACAGCTCGCTTGTTGGCAGCCATTATTGAGGTCCAAAACTGACCTGCAAGAATACGAAAAAGAAGATGGAGGTTTCTCAAAGAATGATAGAAATGACAGTTGCAAAATTTGTTAATGTACTGTATCTTATTATTGCGTCGCAGGCCACAATTTTCCACAACAAACATAATAGTAGTATTTTCTTTCTGAGTAACCCTTTCAAATTCAATATTAACTTCAAAGTTGTAATTATAACTTTTCCATTCTTATGTTGCCCGGCCCCTTTATGTTACGAGTTATTGTGACCATGCATCATTCATTTGTTATCTCCAAGTTTCCAAAAAGAAAGTCCAGTTAATAATTGTATAGACTCAATTCAATTGGTAGAGACAAAAATAATAAAATAATTCTTTTCCACTTCTTCCTGGTATTTTCCCTTAAATGACAACCGAAAAAAAAAAAACAGGAAAATTGAACAATTAATGACACGGAACCACTGGGCCAATGGCTCAGTGGCCAGGGAGGGGTTTAAGTCCCTCCTTAAGCTGTAGATGAGAGTTCAAATCTCATCTGCAGCGAAAAAAATCTAAGGGTTGTGTCATAACACTCTCTTGATCTAGTTAGATCTGTATACCTATTAACCCCTATCACAGGCTTCTTAGGCTTCCCTTTCCCCTAGATTATAATAGAGTATGTTATACAAATGTATCGTTGCTGACAAAAAAAATATATATATTACAATTAATGACACGGAAGTGTGAAGCTTATCTACTAATGCACAGTAGGATTGGAATATTGACCACCATGCAGCAGAAAAAAAAAATTGAAGAAACACCTGGACCAATGAGATGACGCCACATGGTGGAAAGGTCAGATCCTAGGTAAAAATTAAATGAAGCCCCCACCAACTCATCCATATCCCCATAATTACCTCGTGAACCCACCACACAAGTACATGTTGCCATCCCAGAAATTCAGAACGCTTTCAAAGAAAAACAAAAAACTTTTCCCAAAACGAGCAAAACTCCCCACCCTGCGGGCCATGCCCAATTTACCCACAGTTTTACTAAATTGCAAAAGGTACAAGGAGGTTTCTGATTATATTACTGGTCGCTCTCCATATTTTGAAAATTACACTAATCCCAAAGGAGGTTTATTATCTTATAGTAATATTCAGGTTCAATTAATAATTAAAAAGTAAAATTAAAAAAAAAAGATAATATGATTTCATAATTGCCCCTCATCTATTAAATTGTTTAATTAATCTTACACTAGCTTAAATATTAAAGGAAAAAAAACTCAGATTTACTGTTTATCATCAGGGATTAAATCACATATGGCATCAAAAATAGTATATCATTCCATATATTTCACTTAATGCGAGATTTAAATTATTTTTTTTTTCAATTACAAATCCATTATCAAACGTGATTAATAACAAACAATAAAAAACATCTATAATCAAAATATTACAAAGAGCGAACTTTAATACCATAAAAATCTCATCAACTAATCTTAATATATTGATAAGAATCTTTATGATGTTGAAGTTTATTCTATGTAATATTTTGATTGCAAATTTTTTGATTATTTGTTATCGATCATATTTGACAATGGATATGTAATCGAAAAGAGTAATTTAAATCTTATGTTAAGTGAAAAATATAAAATAATATAATATTTTTTGACGTTATATGTAACTTGATTTCTAACTAATGATAAATAGCTAACTAATGATAAATAGCAAATTTTAGTATTTTTCTTTAATGTATGGGTTGATATTAAATTAATTAATTAAATAATGTATAGATGAGAGGTAATGATAAAATCATACTATTTTCTTTCTCATAATATCACTTTTTAATTATTGAATGAACATAAATGCTACAAGATAATTAACCTCAAGAGAGGTTAGTATAAATTTTAAAATGTGGAGGGAGGCTAGTGAAATATTGGGAAACCTCAGGGGAGGGGAGGTTTCTGAAATTATCTCATTCTCACTCTCTATTTAGCTGCTACTGCTCCTACACTACTTACGGCTACTACAACAGAAACAAGAGCAAGACTCACGCCTTCCATACAAAGCTACACACACCCACACACTTCACAAATCAAACCCAAACCCAAACCAGGCACCGAAAAAGGCTTTTGATTTCCCCCATTTCCGTCTTCTACCTATATATTAGGGTTACTAGGGTTTTGAGTTTTCGATTTTGTTAGGAATGGCGGCGACTAGTTCCAAGACGGAAGACCAACCGGCTGCTGTGGCTGGGGGTTTGAGGAAGCCGGTGTTTGTTAAGGTGGAGAATCTCAAGCCCGGGACTAACGGCCACACTCTCGTCGTCAGGGTCCTCAGTTCCAAAACCGTTTTGCAAAGAGGTAAGTCGGTGTCTCCGCACCTCAGGAATACTAACATTGCTGAGTGCCTTGTTGGCGATGAGACTGCTTGCATCCTTTTCACCGCCCGCAACGATCAAGGTATATTCACGTCTGGATTTATGTTTAGAAAAATGCATTCGACTTTTTTCTCTTTTTGGGATAATGCGATATGGAAATTGTTGTGTCCGAATATGTCTGAGGTATGTTATATGATTTCTTCTTCTTTTTCTTTTTTTCTCCTTCCATATTGGCTGAAATACTAGTAAGCATGCTTTGGAAATTTGACTATGTGGCCCTTTTTATTCAGGCTGATATGTGTTAATCTCTTGTTTTCTTTTCACTCGCATCTTTTTAAAGATTTTTTTTTTTTGTTTGGATAATGTGATATGGAAATTTTTGTACAAATATATCTGAGACATATTATATGATTTTTTTTCCTTCAAATTTTTGCGAAAATACTAGAAAGGTACAATGTGACCTTTTGATTGAGGTTGATATTTTTGGTTTTAAATATTTAGGAAATACCGGTGTCTCCCAAACTTTTTCTCGTATGTGTTTGTCCCCATCAATCCGACAACTCTGATTTGTTGTTGTTTTTGCGTTTTTCTATTTGAAGCATGCTATTAATGTTACTGGAGTTCCAGATGCTTTAATCGAAAGCTCCTTATCAATTGATGCTAATTGCAGAAAGGTCTTTGATTGAGTACAAATTTATGGTATTGTGGTTAGATAGCACATGATCTGGTTGAAAGGTGCCTTTCATAAATCATCACGGAATACAGGTGTTAATGCGAGTTGATACAAGCTTCATCTATTATTATGCTTTCAGGGTCAGAAAGTTCTATTCAGTAGAATATTCTGCTTGAAATCCCTTAGAACCTGGAAACAAGTAGGAAGCGTTTTATATTAGACGTGGCTGCATCACTTGTTATCCTGTTGGCTGGTGCCATCTTTTGCTTAATCACTTACTGGGTGGTTTATTTCTATTCCTTCTTTGCTTAGATTTTGAGGAAATATGTGCCTCTGATCATTCATTTCATCGTGTTTAGAAAGTGTTTTAATGTAAAAGCATGCTCGAGTGAGAGTGGAGATATAGGGACAAAAAAATGGAGGAGGATGACAGACAGGTTTGTGTATGTTGAAGCAGAACAAGACCAGGAGGAGGAGAGATGAAAGAGATATAAAGTGGGAAGGAGTTCAGTAAGCAAGGGGTGGAGAGGAGGGGAGATTCAATACCGTAATCATTCTCTAGTTGTTTCTTAGATGGAAACACTATTGATCAGTTGCAATTTAGGGCATGAAAATGCATAACGCTTTACACACACGTAGTGATACCTATTTGGATTACATGCAACAATTTTTTTTTTTTTTTTGTTTTTCTGTGATGACATGATATCAACATGT